GAAATTGTTACACATTTCTTCAAATATGAAGACCAATTGGCTGATATGTTTACAAAGCCTCTTAGGGACTCTCGAGTGGATTACATTTGTAGCAAACTCGGATCATATGACATATATGATCTAGCTTGAAGGTGAGTATTAAGAATATTTTTATATATAAATGTCTCTCACTCTATTATACTTCAACATCTATAAAAATGATAACTATGCATATGATGATTACATATAAAGATAGGAAAGCTATAACAAAATAATGTCAACTTGACCAATAACCAAAACTCAATAAAATTAAAAAATTAAATTCAAAGTGAATGAAAAGTTTAAACAATTGTTTTTATCCTAAAAATAAAAAGAAGAGAAATACAGAAAAATAAAATAGAATAATCAGGTTCACCTCTTTAAGGCGGGTTCCATAGCTAATACCACGTTGAGTGGATGGCAAGAATACGAGTGAGAGAAATGAAGAGCTTAAATACATGAGAATTAAGATTAATATTTCTCATCAATAATTACAGAGAAAATTATTGTAACAACATAGAATTAGTTTAAAGTTGAATCATCAAGATCAATAAGATATATAGACATGCTTCCTTCTTATTATTCTTGATGAAAATATAAATTTGATGAGAATATGAACGCGACAAGAAAAAAATAACAAAATTGAAAGAAATTCTTTTACAATTAAACTAATCTGGTTGTGTTAAAAGATGAACATTTTTTTCATTGTAAGTTCTGTGATTTTGGGATTGGCAACAATTTCGTTAAAACAAGTATCATAACAAGATGTCGAGTAAGATGACTTGACATATTAGTCAGACATTAATTGCAGTGATGTCACGCACGATGTCGTGACATGTTATACCTGGTGCTAGGGTTTTACTTATTTGAAAGATTTGTTTTTAGAATGTGAGATTCTATTTGGTTTTAGTTCACACTCTGTCGCATTCCAAGGAAGGTTATTTTAGGAACATCAGTTTTGTGCCAAAAGCACATTTGTTTCATAAAAAGGATCTTGGAGACTTATTAGGAAACCTTCTATTTTGCTCCTATTTTTATGCAGAAGATTTGTAGCTGCTGTTTTGGAATATATGTTCTATTTTAATAAAGAGACCAAGCCCATGCTGATCTAAAAATATATATAGAGTTGTTCTAAACCTAACGAACCATTGAAGTCGTGTGTTGAAAGAAGAATTTTAAGATTTAGCGTGTTCTTTGTTATTTGTGATCCATGCTGATCTATATATATATATATATATATATATATATATATATATATATATATATATATATATATATATATATATATATATATATATATATATATATATATATATATATATATATATATATATATATATATATATATATATATATATATAGGGTTGTTCTAAACCTAATGAACCATTGAAGTCGTGTATTGAAAGAAGAATTTTAAGGTTTAGTATGTTCTTTGTTATTTGCGATCCACTCTTATATCACTTTGATATATGAGTTGGACTGCATTTGTTGTTCATCTGTGAGCCATTCATGTACCTCTTAGGTGCTTGAATTGGACTGTGTTTGAGTTATAATCACTCATAAGCTTTTAAGCAAGAACGGATTTTGTGTCATTGGAAGTGTGTCTTTCATTGTTCATTGTCATATGTTTTTATCACTGTTGTGTGATTGAAGGGAAGTGAGAAGGGTGTCATATCTAGGAGTGTCTTAGATAGAAATAACACAGGTAGTGATTAGGTGAGAAGATTATAAACCAGAGGTTGTTTACTGAGGCTTCAAACTTATACTATTATAGTGGATTTTTTCCTAGCTTGGATGCCCCCAGATGTAGGTGATGTTATACTGAAGTAGGTTAACAAGTGAATGTGTTATTAACATTTAGTCATTTACTTTAATTGTATAATTGTTTGTGTTGTCACATTGTCCTGATCCCAGTGTCGTGACATCTTACTCAACATCTAGTGTCTGATTACCTGAATTTCATTAATAAAACAATGAATTAAAAAAAAAGGAGATACAAGGAGGGGAAGAAAAGAAACCTTCCCTAAAGTCCAAAAAATCTAAAATTTGCTAAGCCAATTGATCTATTCATAGAGTAATCGCTAATAATGGTGCTAGGAAAAGAATCAAACTAAACATCATTAACCAAAGTGAGACCTAAATTGGATAATTTATCAACACAATGGTTTCCCTCTCTAACAATATAAGAATTCTTGAAGGCCAAGGACACAAGCTTGAAATCTGTCTCTAACCACAAGTTTCTTGAACCTCTCTTATGAGTTATCTCAATAGCCAAAAAAGCACCAAGAAGCTTAGCAGGATTGTCAACCAGAATTCAAAGTAAAACACTTCATAGCTTCCCCATGATGGTTTTTGAAAAGCCCTCTACAAGCTAATGGACTAGGATTGCCACGTGAAACACCATCTGAGTTACATTTAACCTAATTCAAAGGAGGATGGATCCAGAAAATCGCCTTGATAGAAGGGCTCTTAAGAGGGTGAATTTCAACATAGAAAGCTTTGAAGATAGAGAAATCAGATAAAAAGTACCTTGCAATAGCCTCAGTGTGATACCCATAAAAGAAGCAGCATCCAGAATGAGATAAGTGATAACTTTTCAAAAGATGACTTTGTTGTGGAATTTGAGTTGATTAATGCAATACCAAATCAGATTAAACACGCAGAAGGTTGCAAAAGAGATAAGAGACTCACATTGAGGGGACCAGACAAGATTGCAAATCCTAAGACTGTCCAAAGTGGAAGAACAAGGATAGTTGACCTAAATAAGATTTGAAAAGCCACGACTAAATTTTTTGAGAAATACGTAATATAAAAGAAATCAATAGAATTTTTTAATATTGAATCTAACTCATCCTTATAAAATAAGTTTCTAAAGTGTGAAATGTCATTCTTTTTAATTCCATTTAAGATTTTATCTTTATAACATATGGGATTTTCGTGAAATTTTATATTGAGTTCAATTTATTTTTACAAACTAATACATAAGAAAATAAGTGTTGTTATATTTTTTAAGTTATAGTCTTAAAATATCTTCAAGATATACATATGTTCTTGTGCTGGTGTATAAGTGGATGAGAGGAAAACATGTATATGTAAATTTAATTGATATTTTTTTTATTGGTGAAATTGAAAAGACTTGAGGTTTTTCTTGTAGGACATGCATATCTAAAGTCTCAAATAAATTGGTTAAACATAGTTTCAACAATCAACATGCTTTAATCTTATTTGACTTTGACACTTTTAATTTTCTAACATTATAGACAATATATCTTTTATAGTATATAATTCAATGTATTCTTAAATTAACAGTGTTGTGTCTCATAAAATTATATATATATATATATATATATATATATATATATATATATATATATATATATATATATATATATATATATATATATATATATATATATATATATATATATATAATCATTATACTAAACTTTTGCTTTACATATGTGGCTAAGGTAATGAGATTTTGTTATCTCTTAATCAAAGAAAAGACAAAAAGATTAAGTGCTTAATTGTCTTGAAGACCTTATTTTATAGACAATGAGGCCCCATTCCCATGTGCTCCAAATGGACAATGTTGTAGATGGATTAGCCAATTAAGCATGGGTTTATTGTGAAATGTGTATAATTTAATTTAATTATTATGATGAATTTTTAAGTAGCAACTATTGCCAAGTGGACAATAACATGTGGCCAACATAATGTACTGTAGTTTTAATTTATTTTTTAGAAGAAAAATATCTTAGTAGTACTTCTGATTGTATGGAGAAGTACTTTACACTAGTCCTTTATTTTGTGTGGAAGAGAAAAATTAACTATTTTTGAAAGTGTGCAAACTTTATTAGCTGTACAATTAGAAATGATACATCATTAAAATTTTATGCTATAGTTTATTTTCTTTTTTATAACCACTTTCTTAGAATTTTTCTTTAATCACATATGAGATGAAACATTTAAACACATCTAATTTGAGTTATTTGCATTTTATGTCACATTTTAACTAAGATATACATAAAACCAAACCAATGAATGAAAAAAATCGGTGGCTAATTACTAATTAGCGTATAATTTTCCCTAAACATGGTGATAACTACTCCTCTTAGTGCTTTTTAATTCTTTTACTTAGTGAACTTGTTTGAGGAAAAAAGAAAAAGAATCTAACTTTACCCTGAATCGAAATGAAAGTGATGTGACATAATGAACAAACATTTATAGTATACAAGATTAATAAAAGTATATATACATGCATTTTTTATTTCGTAATGCAATCAACTTTTGCAATTTTAGGTTAACCTAAAAATGTCTCAATCATTCAACTCTTTTTATATGTAAGTTATATTCATTTTTTATTAATTACTCACATGCTAAATTGAATATATAAATGTAAAATAAAAAATTTATAAGTTTTTTTTATGGAAATCAGAGAGTAAAAATAAAAAAAATAAAAATTCATAATACATAGGGTTGATCTCTATATTTTAGAGTTAATTTTTTATGCCAAAAAGCTTGAATTTGATTAATTTCTAAAACAACTTATTTAAAATTAAGCACTTCTTTTTCAAACTTCATTTATCATGCAAACAAAACAAATGCAAGTTTAAGGGGTATTGGAAAATTAAAAGGAACAATAGTGTACCCTTAGTTCTTGTACAACATTGCTTCATTTAATAAATCATTACTCAAGATACAAATAACATTTTAAAAGAAATTCTCTCATTGGAAATCAATCCATATACATATATTTATATATATACAATTATCGTACCAAACATAAAATACTATTAGTACAATATTGTAATTTTCTTAAAACTGTAAACTACAGATTTGTAAAATGACTGACTTATACTTATCTTGAAGATGTCAATCTCATCGTAAATTGATATTGTAATTTCGTCAAAACCACCACTCGATCAAAGGATTTTATGTTTGGTAATCTTCGACTAATAAAATCTACTAACCGTTGTTCTTTATCTGATCAATGAAGTTAATGACTCGAAAACAAGTTCGTCACAAGGGATAGTAAGTCCCATATCATGATTGAAGCCAAACTCCTCTTCAGCTCTTTGTAACAAACTTTGAAATTGAGGATGTGATAGCCAAGAAATTGGGATAATGTACCTTGTTCTATTCTCACCAACATAAACTGCAAAATGACCTTTTGGTACATCCTCCGGAAGATCCTCTTCATTGTAACCATGTTTTTTCCCAAAACTTGAACATCTTTTGAGAATTTGCTTGATAACTTCAGCTTGTGGAAGTTTGTTGGACTTTCTCATGGCCATTGTTTTGCTATTTGCACCTCCAACTTTGAATGCTTTTTTTTTGTTGAGAGTGTGGATTATGAGATGGAAGTGGATGAAGAGGTATTTATGGTGTGAGGATTTTATAGAACTAAAAAGATGGAACACGAGTCATGTGGGTGTGGGGACTATAAGTGTTTAATGGGCAAAGCAAGTTCCAACCCCAATGGAGGTTCGAATGCATGCTACTTTTTCAATAGACAATGTGGGCCATTTTTCTATCTTAAATACAAAATTTTCTTGCATTTTTGTCTCTAATCAATATTATCATGTTGGAAAATAAAAATCCCTAGGCACATATTATGTTTTTCATTGCCTAAAAATTATTAGTTTCCATTATTATTATCATTATTTTTGAACAAAACTCCACTAACTTTGCCGCGAGAAACGTAAGATCAGACGATTTAAATTTTATTTTAAAAATTTAAGAAATAAATTGTTTTGGTAATTTAACCTAACATAAACAATTTAATCAAAATCAAACCATCTAGATTTTATAGTTAATATTTTAAAGTTTTAAAATAATTATAATTTATATCGAAACTTGTACTTTTAATTTTATTTAAATAATACTATTATTTCACACCATCATATTGTAGATCAATAAGATAATGTAGACGTGATATCTTTACGGTTAATACGATCAAACAAATTAAATATTTTTTTTTTAAACATAGATATTTTTATATCTTTAAACATAATTATTTTTTTTCACTCACGCAAAATTGATTACTATATTTTCACGTCACCAAGTGTTTGTCCCTTCCTAAATTTCTAAACTTAAAATTAGTAATATACTAGTGTAATTTAAATAAGATGACATATTTGATGTTGTATAGTCATATAATAATTTAATCAAATTATATATGATTAAGTAAAATAAAAATAATTGAAGTTGAATTAAAAGTTTTAAGATATTTTTCTTCCGATTATACCGGTATTGATGATTTTACCTATCATATCATATACAACTTTAATTAAAACACGATAAATTATTAAATTACAGTTTTGAAATTTATAGAAGAGACTATAAAACTAGTTGATTTAAGCTGCTAAAAAAATGACCAAAACTATCACTAAACTTATATTTTATAAGATTTTTTTTTTTACAAAACTAACAAAAATTAAGATATTATGTGATGTGCTAAATACTATGATACGATTTTGTAATACCATGCCACTTTTATTCTATTAAATCCGAAAAAGAAAAGACTTATTTGTAAAAATAAAATAAAAACGGTAAGAATAAATTTCAACCATTTAATATCACCACTATTCCATAACTTTTATCAGAAAAAGTAATATTTATAATAAATTAAAATTTTGCCTTTCCTATTCAAATTATTTACTAATAAATGACACTACTCAATTCGAAAATTACAATTCTCAAACGTGAAAAACTCTTGGTTTCTTATGTTTCGTGGACAAGACGTTGGTACTAAATAACATAGTTTTTTTTAATATTAAAAAAAGAGAGTATACCATTTTTCTGACTTGTGAACCTTTATATACTTCCATAAAGTCAACCGTAGACTCGAATCATTGGATGGTTGTTGGAGTATGCATGCATTAGTTTTCATAATTATCTCAACATTTTCTTTTTTCTCGTCAACATGATTCCATTAATAAACTAATATAGGAGGGTGAATGATATTAATAAGTTTACAATAGGTGTTCTAAAATTTAAAGAAAAAGGGTTTTCTTAGTTTTTTTTTTCCAAGGAAAGTGCAACTTTCTGGGTAGTCATATTACATTTTTTTTAATAAGCAAAAAGAGAGCACAAAAAGTGTTCAAATTAGATACAAGATTAGTAAAGTTTGAGGCATTCTACCGAATTTTTTACTAATTATAAAAATACAACACCATACTACTTTTCAAACCTATTACAATTCAATTTCAAGAAATTTTTTTTAATGTAATTAGTTGTTTCTACTGTACCCCTGTTTACGATATTGTTATTGAAGATGACGTTGTTTCTCCGAAGCCACAAGTATCAACAGGTTGCAAGCCAAATTAACATCCTCTTTTTGTTAATTGTATTACCCTTCATACTTGTTGTTAGTTCCATGGTTCTATGATTGGCTAAATTTTGGTAAAACATGATTCTACACTGATGTTAAGCAAGATGTTATAACATCTTTATCAACTGTTATGACAATACTACTGTCATGTGTTTTAGACAGATGTCAAAGACAAATGTCATGACATCTTGGTCTAGTACAGTAGGCGCTGCTATTTTATATCTCTTGATATATGTGTTTTGGTTTGATGAGATCCTCTTGGATATTCCTTATCATTATGCGCAGGTCAATCAGATTTATTAGGAACAAAGTGCAGATTTAATTGAATTTCATAAAAAGGATCTTTGAGACTTTTTAGGAAACTATAAAATATTTGTTCCTATTTTTGTGGAGTTAATGTGGAATCTTTTGTTCTATTTTCATGTAGAAAATATTGAGAAGATTTGGAGTTTGATTTTATTTTATTTGATTTTATTTGATTTGATCAAATTTGAATTGGTGTTAATTATGAAAAGATTTGAAGAATTATCTTATGAAAAGATTTGAAGAATTATTTGATTTGATTTTATCAAATCTGAGGTAGTTTTTGCTAAAGTCCAAGCCCATACTAGAAGAGTCTATAAATAAGGACTTGCTAGACCTAAATAAAAAAGCATTCATAACAAGAAGATCTTGAGTGCAAAATAAGAGTTTAGGGTTTTGAGAGTCTCTTGTGTGTGACTTTGTAAGTCACCCTTTGTATCTTTTTATGCATCGTGGTAGACATATTTAGATTGTATATTGTTCTTGATTGAAGCTGTTAAGCAAGATCAAGTATTGTCGTTGAAGAGTGTCTTCTAAAGCTTATTCATTTGTTGTTATCACTGCTGTGATTGAGGGGAGTGAGAGGTGTCTCATATCTAGGAGTGTCCTAGGTAGAAGTTGCACTGGTAGGGGTTAAGTGAGGGGTTGTAAACGAGGGAGTTTAACTCTGAATTGATACTACTGATAGTGGATTTCCTTTCTGGCTTGGTAGCCCCCATATGTAGGTGATGTCTTCACCGACTGGGTTAACAATTCATTGTGTTAATTATATTTCTGCATTTAAAATTCTGCACAATTTAAATGGTTGGACAAATTGTTTTGTCAGTCTCCAAATGTTACAACATCTGTCATGGCACTGTTATTTCTTAAAGTAAACCAAATGCTCGTGTTCTGTCCTTGTTCTGTTTTTAGTAGAGATCAATGTTCTCGACATCTCTTAGGACATCTGAGATCTGCATACCATAATTTCAATTGGTATCAGAGCAGGCATCCTGTCTGTTTCTGGATGAGTTCTATGGAAGATACTTTCTGGTATTTTGAACAAGGAAGAAGATTGTGTGATCAGACCATCCATTATGTAGTGTTCAAGAAGGTTGTAAGCTAAGTGTTGTACCCCAAAATTTGACCGACCTCTCTGGCTTATGTTTTATTTCATTGCATCAGCATATACATAAGCATTGCATTGCATAGCATTTTTCATTTCACAGGGGATCAAGAAATGTGTGTCTAACAAAAAATTACCAATGGTTTTTAACCTGATCAAGGAGGTTATATTCAAGTCACCAAGTGGTTACCCTTATCAGAGACAAGTCAAGGTCCTTGAAGACAAACAGATAAGCATATATGGTTGTCAGGGGCAGAAAAATCAAAAAAATATATGTTGCTTCCATCATAAAATTGAGCTGGATTGGATAGGTTTTGGTTGGGGTTCATTAAGTAGGAATGAGTGAAGTATATGTCGAAGTCCAGGTTTGACTTAATTCATCAGCAAGAAAGGGATCTATTTTGTTATCAGGGTCATGGTGCATTGATTTAAATGGTGTGTGACTAAAGCCCCAACCAGGGTTATGTGCAGTGTACCGAAGTTCATTTCTCAAGTCATAATATTTTGATTTTTCAAGAAGTGTTCCATGAAGGTTTCAACTCATCACGTTTTCAAATGGCAAACATTAAGAATGATTTGACAATTGACTCATGATTAAGTTTGTTCTGTGATTGACTTTAATGCTCAAGGACTAATTCAAAGTATCATCCAGGCCAGGGAAGATTTGAGAGTAGTCTTAATTGAGAACACGCAATTATTTGTGATTTCAATTATGATTGCTTTCTAATCAAGAAATGGAATAAGTCAAGGCATTGCAGATTTATTTCAAACACTTATTGTATTACTAAAACCTATGATTCAAGTAATTTGCAAGAGAATCACTAAAGAATCCATTATTTTGTTTCAAGCATATTACTTGAATCCATATACGTTCATCATAAATATCATGACCAATACAAGAAATGTTACACACAAAAAACCATGGACAATTTAGGCCCCAAAGCATGCACATGCCTTAGATGTTTGAGCTTTGATATTCCAATGGGGAAGGAAATTGTGATGACCATGATTGAAGGTCCAAAGTCTAATGTTTGTAGATTCTGAAGGTTACATATAGAATCTGGAACACTTCTAATATATTTTGAGACTATTCGTAAGTACCTCAAGTGAATGAAGTTCCCTAAGTTTGCAGGAATCTTAAAACAGCAGTCTCCTTCAAGATGTAACACCCGAACCAATTTGAAGCCTTTGGTAAGCCAGTTCCACTCATCGTGAGAAATGAAGCAATTTGAGTCATAACAAAACAAAGAGCGAACACATGAATGGTCATTAAAGCTTGAAGAAATATAATGAGACATGCTGGAATGGACAGACAATCTACGAGGTTTTGTAGGGATTAAAATGTTGTTGTCATTGAAAACTTGAAAGATCTTATCCTCTTTGCTCTCTAATATGCAGAGATCTCTGAGAAGATCATGGATGCGACATGTTTTCATGCCTCCACTATCTTTCACTTGTGCTACTTAGATCAAACTACGATCAATGAGCTCATACAAATAGTCTTCCGCAACATCATATGCATCTTTACTTCCAGTTTCTTGTATAAATCCTTC